CTGCGGTGAAGAGCGCCAGCTGCGCCGCCGCACACCGCGCAGGGGTACCTGGGGCGTGCTGGCGAGGTACGCTGCCAGCTGTTCCCGACGCTGCGCGGGATCGCCGGCGACTTCACGGACGTTCGTTTCGCCGCCGCTCCCTCTTTCCTTACCCTTTCCTCCCTTTCTTCTTCTTCCTCCGCCGCCTCATAATCACTACGATTAGCCGCGTCCAGGGGCTCCTCGTAGGCGAGGCGCAGGGCCTTGGCGTACTTGAAGATGTTAAGGAGCACCCCACGATGTTCCTCGATGTCAAGGTACGCCTGCGTGATGCGCCTCCTCTGCGCCAGCGAGAGGACGTCCTCGGCGTCGCGGGTTGATCCCCTGCCGCTGCCGCTGCTGCTGCTGCTGCTCCTCGCACTACTGCAACGGCTACTCATGGCAGTAGGCACCGGTTGCTGCAGCTGCGCACGGCGCGACTGCACCTCCGTCGGGGTGAGGTGGCCCAGAGGCACACCAAAGTCCACCGCAACGCGTCGGCGCTCCACGTCGTAGAGTCGTCGGGCGCCGGCAAAGCACGCCGTACAAAGAAGCAGGAGGTCGTAGCTATTGTGGCTCATGTACACGCTGGGAAAGTACTTCCTGTAGGCCAGGGGCACGACAGCGAACCGCACCAGATCCTTCGCGTGCCCGCACACCACGCACTGGTTCTCCTTCGCCTGGCGGAAGTAATCCAAGTTGCGCCGAATGTGGGCGTCGTTGTACTTGGAGAAGTCCGGACTAAAGTTGAGCTGAATGGCGGCGATCCGCCGCTGCGGCTCCGCCGTCTCCTCGTCGTCCGCGTCCCTCCATGCTATCACCGAGGCGATGCCCTTCTTGTGCACGTACCACTCCGCCTTGGACTTGTCCACCGTGAAGACAAGGCGCATCTCCGCGTCGTACACAAAGATGTTGTCGTAGTACGGCTTGGCGCGGCCCCTGCACCACGCAGCGGCGCGGCTGTCCCGCGCAGGCCGCGCAGGCTGCTCCCTCCGAGCCGTCGTCGCCCTCACCCCAGCCACGGCCTGCAGCAGCGACTTCACAGTCCACGCCGTGCCCCGCGTCTCACTAACGCCGTCCGCGTCGTCGCCGGCGACGAGGGCGGACTCCTCGCACATGCCGAGGCAGACGTCAAAGGAGGCCTCGGCGTCCGCCGCGGCGTACTGCACCTGCAGCGGGGAGAGCGCCCCGAGGCGGCCGCCCCAGTCGCTGCGCGTCACGAGTGTGTCCTTCTTGAGGTGCGTGCCGGCAAAACGGGCGGCGAGGTCCTTTAGGCTGCGCAGCTGCGCCACCTCCGCGCTGGCGGGGAAAAGGTGCCGGGCCAGCACGGCGAGCTCAACGCAGGGGGACAGTCGGAACTCGGCGTAGTCACGCTGCAGCTTCGCCTGGTCGCCAAGGATGCCCACCCCCACCTTCGCGACCTGCCCGTTTGCCAGGAGGGCGCGCAAGTTGCCCATGACACCGCCCAGCGTCGAGGGCACGGCCTCGGCGGCCTCCCTGCGGTCCTCGCCACGCACCATGCAAACGAGGTCGCACAGCCTGATCACAAAGGTGACGGAAAAGCTGCTCAGCTGCGCCACTGCCACGGGCCCCACGGTGTTTCCACGTCGCACGCGGGCCCTGTCTCCCGCAGCGGCGGCAGCGTGCGCTTTACCGCGCGTTTTCTCCTCCAGCGTCTCTGCGGCGGGTTTGGGCCCCGTCGTCCACTCCAAATCCACCCCGATAAAGCCACAGCTCAGTGCCTCCTCCTGCAGCAGCTTCCACGACGCGCTGTAGCTCGCTTCGTCGAGCCGCGCCCAGGCAGGATCCACCACAATGACTCGTCGCGGCATCGCTGGGCACGCCGTTCTTCTTCTACCGCCCCTTTGCACCGCCACCGAGGAGGCAAAGCAGACAGAGGGTTGAGAGGGGAACGACAAGAAGAGGTTGAAAAAGCCCCGCCGAGGCCTCATCACGGCAGAAAACCGCTGAATAAAAAGCCAAATACGCATGCAACGTACACCACCACCGCAAATTAGAAGGAATGCAAAAAAAAAATAAGAAAAATAAAAAAAAAGTCCACCATGCACAGTCGGGCGTTGCCGGAGGGCGAGAGAGCGCGAGCGGGGGTGCAACAAAGGCAATGACACTCACTCGGCTTACGTCAGAAGGAAGCACAAGGCAAGGAAAGCAATGCCCACCGTAATGGACGGTACACATAGTAACAATAGCAACAACAACGACAAGTAAATAAAAAAAAAGAGAGAGAAGGCAGCGAAGAAATGTGGGAGGAATAAATAAGCCAAAATGCGCTTGCTACTTTAGATCGTTGGGGGAGTACTATTACACGTAGAAACTCCTACACCCATAGCGGAACTCCAGCTACGGGACGGGGCGGGGGAGGGCCTTTAATAGCGGAACTTCGGGGGGTAGACGGGGGCGTCAGGCAAGTTCCGCTGGCGCTAAAAGCCTCCGAAACTACGCACATAAAACTTCAGAAAGGAAACCAAAAACGAAAATAACAATACAATAAATATTACATCTGACACACGTCCACTGAAAGGAAACTGCGCTCGAATCAACCTCGGGCAGTCACATTTCTCGCAGCCCGTCTACTTCCCATAGACTTGGTAAAGCCTTTTCCGCGGAAATTGCTGTCTCAACTAGCTCCCGTAGTCGGAGCTCGTCGCTGCTAACAAAGCACGGCAGCAAAGGCGCGTTCACCGCCTTTGACGCCATCGTCAGGGCCCGCAAGGTGTGTTCGCTCTCGCCAACGTCGTCCTCTGCGGAGGAAACGGTGCCAAGAATGGTGGTCAGCGCGTTCCCCCCAAATACGTCGGAGAGCAGGGTAGTCTCCAGGGACCGGGCGTACGGCACCACGCCACCCTGCGCATCCTGCAGGGACTCCAGCACCGCAAGAATATGTCCAAAGGAGCGATTCGCAAAGCGGGCGCTTTCCACATCCTCCGGCTGCTTAAGAAGCGGGCCGGGGCCACACAAATCGACGAGTGTGACGCGTCCCACGGTGAAAGTCTGTCGAACTCTGTGGGCGATAACGCACCGAATCTGAATCCATATGTGCGAGCGACGACCACCCAGCTGCTCTTGCCGTAACCGCTCCACGGTGGAGAGGAGGTCGACGTCTGTCGCCTCGACAAATGTTACGCCGGCAGGGACAGAGAGGCCGTAGGCGTCCCGTTGCACCTCAGCCACCGCGGAGTCCGTCGCGCAGTCCACCGCCCCAGCGACGCCAATCCTCACGGCAGCCACTTTGTACGTCACGGCGTACTTGTCCACGGAGAAGCGGTGGGAGTGGTCGCACAGCGCATGGACCACGCGTGGGACAAAGTTGTCAAACATGGTTGTCTTGCCGGTGTAAATCGCGCCGAGAGTGACGTAGGCCACATGAAACCCCAGCGTGACAGTCACTATATTGCGACACACCTCGCAGAACATGGCGTTCAACGACGTCATGGTTTCATCCACGCAAATGTCAAATTTGAACGTTTGCATCCCACCCTTCTCGCTCAAAACAACCTGCGAGGAGTCCTCTGCGTGGATGCGGATGCTAGGAGGCGAGGGGCCCTTCTCGCAGCCCCGCACTCTCAGCACGATAGTCCACCTTCCTTGTAGCGTCTTGAGCGCACATTCTGCGCCCGCCAGCTTCGCGGTTGCGTCGTGGAGTTTCGCCGCCACGGCCTCGCGATCGGCGGAGATCTTCTTGGACCTGTGTTGCACCCTCTTCAACTCTCGACCAACACGTTTCAGCTCTTCACGAAGGCAGGAGGCGGTGCCCTCAATCGAGTGCACTTGCTCCTCCGTGATCTTGCTCGCCGCCAGAGTAACCTCAAGCTCCATTTTATTCTCTTCCAAGACACGACCCAATTCGGCGTTGGACTCCTGCAGCGTTCGCATGAGATCCATTTTTTCATTTAAAGAGCGCAAAATGTGTGGATCAGCGGTCTTTTGTTTGCCCATTTTCAACAACGCCTCCTCAAGCTCCATGCATCGACCGTTGCGACTGTTAAGTTCCACTGTTTGCGTCCGGAGCGCCTCTTCAGCGTTTTCCAGCTCGCTTTCAAGCCTCTCAACTTCCTCTGGACAGATGCTCGGCAGCGCGCCGTCGCCAGCGGAGCTACGTTCCCTGACGAGTTTCCGATAGCGGTCGCGTTGCTCTCGCAGCTCCTTTTCTAGCGCATCGCAGCGAAGGTACAGCTCAGCGTTTTTCCTGCTGACTTCCTCAAGCTTCTTACCGAGGCGCTCAGCCTCCCCGGGCTCAGGTGGCTCTGCAGTGCATTGGCCATCCTCCACGGCCGTCTCGGCGGGCGCCGCCTCGAGCCGCTCAGCCTGGCCACCGGGAGCCGGCGCCTCCCCTGCAGCCTCTCGCCCCAGCGCCGGAGACCCCGCAGATTGCGTCCCCGCCTCCACTTTGCCCGCAGGAGGGGCAGGGCTGCCGCCCCCCGGCTGCTCCGCCCCTACCGCCACATCCACACGTTGAGTCTCAGGCGCGTTGAGTTGCTGCACCAATTCCGCGTTATGCTGCCTGAGCGACTCCAGCTCACGCCGCAGTTCTCCTCGCGTTGGGCCGTCCTTGCGGTCCCACGAATGCGCATGCCTTCCAGGACGCCGCACGCCGTCAAAATCGGGCCTTGTTTGCAAAGGAGAGGCAACCTTTTTCCCACCGTGCCTCGTCGCTTGCGTCGCCCGCGCTCCACCAGCGCCGTTGCGGGGGGCGCGCATGGGAGAGTAAATTTGCATGAAATCATCAGCTCCCACGTCACGTCTGCGCCCCACCGCCACTTTGGGGCTCTGCGAAATGCTGGGCAGCGCCAACTGCTTCTTTTCATCGCTGACAATGTCGGGCAAGCGCCGCGTGGCTGTCGAAAAGGTGTGGCAGAGATCCTCGTAGCGCTTCCGCCAAAGGGCACACTCCACCTTGACATTCTCCAGGGCGCGGCGCAGTTCATCCTTCTCGAGCGTTTCCCTGTCGCTGTACCGCAGGTACTTCCCCATGTAGCTCTCGTACTGCTCGTACGCGTTCGACCACTCCGGCCCCAACTTCTTGCCCGCGGCTATTGGCATCTGTGAGACAAGATGCCCGTCTGCGTACTCCACGGCAAAAAGGATGTGTTGGTCCCGCAGGATGCCTTTGCCGTGCATCTCACCCGCCTTCCACTCGCCGCAGTAGACGTTGCCGTTGTTTTGTATGAAAATGCCGTCCCCCTCTTCGTTGCCCCGGACCCAGTTTCCGTCGTACACGTCGCCGTTGCTGTGGTAAAAGACGCCCTGGCCGTGGCGGTAGGACTCCCGCCAGTGGCCCTCGTAGCGGTTCCCGCTGCTCCGAATCGTAAGGACGCCGTAGCCCTCGATCGCGTCATCCCGCCAAAACCCGCAGTACTCGTCGCCGTTGGCGAAGGTGTAGGTGCCGCGGTAGTGCTTCTTCCCCATGTGCCAGCTCCCCACGTAGCGGTCGCCGCTGGCGTAGGTGTACGTGCCGTGCCCGTGCTTCACCCCGCCCTTCCACTCCCCCTCGTACCGGTCGCCGGTGGCGGCGTAGTAGTACGTGCCGTGCCCCGAGGGGGAGCCGCGGCGCACGGAGCCGACGTACTTGGAGCCGTCGGGGAGCTCAACCTCCGCCGCGTCGTCGTTGCCCAGCGCCGGTGTCCGCCCCGGCGAGAGCGCCGGGTCCTCGCCGAGGCACGCCCTCGTCACCACCATCGCCCCGCCCCCGTGCGGCATGTCTCCCCCGCTGCCTGAGAAGATACGGTGCCGCAGGCGAAGAAATAACAACAATAAAAGAAAAATGGAGACGAATAACAGCAAGATGTGGCTAACGAGGGAGAGAGAGAAGCATAAAATGTATATAAAGAAGGAAAGAAGAAAGGAAAGAAGGGAAGGGTGCTAACACAACAAAAAAAAACGAGCATGCAGCGCGCCGTGGCGCACGGGACGCATCAACTGAAGTGCCACATGAATGACGCTTAACAAATGAGGATAGCAGACGCATCACATGAGCCTAGGCGCAGAACACATGCACGCACGGAGGGGCCGGAGACGCAGTAGCCTTGCAAAAGGCTCCCTTGAATTGAAATAAATGCCCACACACAGGAACATATAAACGCACGAGGTAAAAAAAAAACCCACTCAAAGAGGCGTTCGCCTCTATTACGTTTTCTCAGCTCACTTGCCCCCTGGAAGAGGGAACATAAGTTGCTACATGGTAGGTGGAGTGCATTCCCTATAAAGCATCTATGCATTCTTTTTGGACGCCACGGCCGCCACTTGTTGCTTCTCCAAGGCGGTATAGAGCCTTGCAAACTTCATTATGGCGGCACACAGTACGGTGGCAAGTGCATGGATATACATGTTGCGCTCGTGCCGCCATTTCTTGGCTTCCCAGTCCACTTCCAAACTCAAGTCGGCAAAGCGTGGCTTTCCTGGCCCGTACCGTTTCCTCCACTCGACGAATTGCACGACGAAGGTTACAAACGTCACCAGAGTGAGCAGCAGCAATAGCGAGAGACCATGGAAGTTTGGCCGCTCCACAAAGCTCACTACACGGGAGACGTAGCGCGAGACCCGCGGGACCGGCACAATGAAGAGGACGAAGAGGAGCATGGCGGGCATAATGAGGTACGTCACCTCAAGCGTGAAGAGGCTGAGCATGACTGCCGCTGTGATGTTCCTACCAGCGTGAGGGAAAAAGGCGAAGTCGAGCACGAGCCTTGGAGGCAACCGCTAAGGCACGAGGGCGTTAGCGGCAGGAAGCAGCGGGAACAAAAAAAAAACAATCAAAAAAACAAAGAAAAGAAAAGAAAAAAGAAGGTCCCGGAAGGGCTTCGCAGCGAAACAACGCGAGACGCAGGCAACCCCGGGATGCGGGCAGCGACGCGACGCCACACACCACAAAAAGAAGAAACAAAAAACAAAACAAAACAAAACTGGACACGGCGCCGGTTACTCGGGGAACTGACGCGGCGGCGTGGCGCCGCCCCGGTCCTCAGGCGGCAGGAGCGAGGGGGAAGCAAACGCAACGCACACTCCCCGCCAAAAAATAGGCAGACCAAAGGAGAACTAGTGGGGCGAAATCAAGTCAACAAACGTGCCGGTGGTGGGCGGCTTCCCGCGCGGGGGCGTTCAGCGTGGCGCCCGTTTCTCGCGCTTGGCGGCGGAGGGCGGCGGCAGCTCGATGGGCCTCGCCTCCTCCCCCGCGGCGTAGACCTCGTCATTGTCGAAGAGAAGCGTGAAGCCGGACCCGGACGTCAGCCACGGGGCGGCGCCTCCTCCCTCCTCCCCCGCGGGTGCTTTGGCGGGCACAAGCACGGGAAACAGCTCATCCGCGGCGAAGGCCCTGGCGAGGTTGACCTCCTTTCCCTTCCACGACTTCCGGATGCTTTGCAGCTGGCCCTCCGTGTTGGCGCCGAGGCCGGCCACGCAGCCGTTGCGGTAAATAACCAACAGCGTCGAGGGGCCCTGCACAAGCCGGTCGACGTCAAAGCCGCCATCGCCCCACGGCGCCGCCACCGCCGTGGGGAGCCGGGAGCGGAAGTAATCGAGGGCGGGCTGCTGGTTGACCATTTCAAAACGCGGCGCGGAGATCTGAAAACCATAATCCGGCAAGGCGCCCTGCACCAAGAGCTCATTCTTAGAGCTGAGAAAGACGGCCATGGATCCCACGCAGGCAATGTCTTTAATCCGAATCAGCTTGGCGCCACCGCTGTGGGCGCCGTGCTGAAAGCTTCGCGTGAGAGGCACGGGAACCGGCTCAAACTCGTTGGGCGGCAGCTGTCCGGCGTTTGTCGCGCCGCAGCCGTACACCCGCCCCTCGCTGCTTAAAAAGAGCGAAAAACTATTCCCCGCCGCCACCTTGGCAATCTCTATCCCCTTACTCTCAAAGTATCGGAGGCGTGTGGGCTGCATGGGAGAGACCGTGGAGCCGATTCCAAGCTCCCCCCAGGTGTTGCTACCAAACGAAAGCAACGACCCACACGTGAGCTGCAACACCGTGTGGTTAAATCCGCAGACAATGCCACGAATAAGACCCCCGCCATCACCCCACCAAGTATCGGTGGGGTTCCATGCCGCAAACCCCTTTTCACCATCAATCTGGCTTTTGTGCCCAACACCAAGTTGTCCCACGTGGTTATTGCCGAACGCAATGACGCGTCGACCACCAGGCTGGTAGACAAGTGTGTAATTGGACCCGCAGGAAACGGACTGCCGACCCGAGCTGAACGCCCCGTTAAGGTCAATGTACAACGGCGCCCATCCCGGGTCTGACACCTGCGATTTCCCGCCCAGCGTCCTACTGTGGGCATTCTGCGCCTCCGCTTCGTGTTGCCGCGGCCGCTGCGGGCGGTCTTGCCGCGGGGCAGCCGTCTGTCCGTGGCGGTTGTCGCCAAACGTGATCAAGTTCCCCTCGCGTGTCATGAGCGCGACGTGCCTGTGCCCTGCGGCGCCGCAGCGGATGTCGTAAAACGGCTCGGGCGCCACCAGGGGGAAATGCATGCGTGCGGGCTGCTGGCGTTCCCGCTCCTCCCGCTCAAACCGCCGGTACTTTGCGTGGTCCACCTCCTCCGGTGGCGGGAGGGTCTTGAGAAACACCTCCGCTGGCGGCGATGGGGCCATGCCGCAGACGGAGCCCATCCCCACGATGCGCGTGTGCAGCCGCCGCAGCATCCCCGACAATGCGAGTCTCTCGCTCTTTCTCTGCGTGTGTGTGTGTTTTTTTTTTGGATGGTCGGATGTGACGCAGAGGACAAGAGACACGCGGAACACGCACACACACACAAAAAAGAAAAAGGATTCAACTCTGACAACGCCCTGAAGCCACCCAATCGCGTTTCCCCACTTTCCCCCGCCCCATCCAGCAAAGGAGGAGGAGGGGGAAGTAGCAAACAAAACAAAAAAAGATGGGTGGAGGAGGAGGAGGAGGGGGCAACAGACGCCACGAAGAGTCCCCCAACCCGGATGAAACGCATTCACATAAAACAAAGCCAACGGTGACAATAACAAAGGAGAGGTCAAGGAAACCATGCCAGAAGTCAATTTACGATGAATGCAACGTATGCGGGGCCACCGGCATGCTTCTTCTTTTTTTCTTTTTACTTGTGTGTCTTCGGCCTATGCCTCCTCTCTACTTTGCGCGGCGGCGGGTGAGGAAGCGGGTGAGTGTCACGTACTGGTAGGCCGCCATGAGGGCCAGGATGACAATGTTCCCCACCAGGCCGGCCATGATGATGTGGGCGAGGGACGCGTAGCGCACGCGGTCCGCCTCCCCCACCTGCCGCATCCGCTCCGCCACGGTGGCCAGCTCGAAGAGCACCGTGCCGTGCCTGTGCAGCGTCTTCTCGATCTCCGCCTCCGCGCGGGTGGTGCTCGTGGGGTCCACCTCGAGCACGTCGCGCTTCAGGAACTGAAACAGCAGCCACTTCGGCGAGACCCGGGAAAAGGAGTTGTCGAAGCACACCGTGACCTCCGCCGGCAGCCCGTGCTTCGTCTCCGCCGCGGCGGGGGCCGTGTACGTCTGGCTGCCCGCGCTCGCCCGCCTCCACGCGTTCACGACGGCCGTCGTCGTGTTCTCGCGCCGCGCCATGAGGAGCTCGCTGTAGTGGATGCGCGTCGTCTGCTCCACGTCGTCCAGCGGGGCCACCGTCGTGGCGTACATGACGGCGTCCACGTCGAAGGAGCCGCCGTCCGTCACGCGGAACGTAAGCGCGAGAGACCCACCCGCCGAGAGGGTCTCGGCAAAACACTCGCGATCGCCTGCGTCGATCTTCGTCCCGAACCCCGCCGCAGCGGAGGGGCCGTGAAGAAGCAGCAGGGCGACGAGACACACGAGGGCCGTGCGGGGGCGTGCCTCACGGTGAAACGCGTGGGCGGGATGCATGCCAAATTGCACCCACCCCCCCTCCTTCTCTCCCCGCACACACAGACACAGACACAGACACGGTAAGGAGTAAATCCGCACTGCACCGAGATAGAGAGAGAGAGAACGGAAAAAAAAAGTAGAAGCCGATACACACACAGACAGACACAGAGGCTTCGGGGGCAGCAGATGAATACTTCGAAGCAGAGGGGCGACGACGGGCTCACGCTGGAGTGCAAAGCAAACAGACACGAAATGAAGCAAAGTTATATACGAGGGTGATCTGTTTCGCGTCCCGGTGGAAGCCGCAGACCATTTTTTCACTTCCCTGATCTCTTTTTCCCCCACTGCTGCAGGCCAGGCGGCGCTGCCGCGCGGCAGCGCCGAGGAAACGCTTCTTGAAAGGGTATTTGACATGCAGCAGCCGTACACAGATAAATATAGGTAGGTATACAGGTGAATAGACATCGCAGCGTGGCGGTTAGCTTTGCTTCCCTTCCTGCATCTTGCGCTGCACGCGGCGGACGCCGTGGAAAACGGCGGCGTCCACGATGCCAGCCACCGTAAACACCCCGCCCCCCACCGCGCACAGCTGCAGCAGCAGATGCACAAACGAGGAGTACGGGTGCGTCTCCAGCACAAAGACTTTGATGGGCGACAAGTCGTACGTGATAAACACCCCAGGCACCAACTGGGGGTTTGTTCCCGCTTCCGCCGCCGCCGAGCCATTCCTCGGGCTGGCGGTAAAATGATGCGTGACGGAGTACTGGTTGGACTCCACCACCTTGCCAACCCCGAGGAGGGAGGCCACCTGGTACTGTGTCGGGACAACCTTCACAAAGTAGCTGAAGCGGCCGTTCACCTCCTGCGTCGCGTCCACGGCGCCGCGCGTGTTCACGAGGCCGTCCATCGGGTTCAACTGCCCCGGAAACCGCGCACCGAACTCGAGGGTGTGCACAATGTGGCTGAGGTTCAGCTCCCGCACCATTTTCCCCTTAAAGTCGTGCAGGTGCTGGCCCATCACGCTGAACATGCGCCCCGGCACAAAATGAATGTTCCCCGTCACGCGGGCCACATTGTACCTGGCAAACAAGTTGCACCCCTCCTGGCTGCTCAGAAGCGAGGCCTTGCGCAGCCGCTCCTCGGCGCACTGCGCCACGCTGATGTCATCCTCGTTGAACACCCACTTCCGCTGGGCGTACGCGCGACGGACGTCGTCGCAGGTGTGGCAGCAGGCCCCCGGCTCCGGCTCCGCCCCGTAGCAGCTCGGGCAGTTCTCCTTCTCCGCGCCGTCGGGGTCGAGGGCCTTGGTCAGCTTCTTCTTCTCGTCCACCAGCGGGCGTGCCTCGCTGATCTTGTGCAGCGTGCGCGAGTCCACGCGCGTCTTGACCGTGTCGCGCTCCACGTCCTCGGCGAAGTTGCCGAAGGTGTCCACGGCGTCCGCGGTGATGAGGTCGCACGGGACCCGCGGGAAGGTGATGTTCACGGTGATGTCCATCATGCCGCCGAGGTTGGGGTCAACGTACATCTCGTGCTGCTCGACGGTGGAGAAGAAGTAGCGGACCTCCCCCACCACGAGTGCGGCGATGATGAGGAGGGAGAGAAGCGAAAAGGCGGCGCCGACCGCCGTCCGCTGCCGCGCGTCCTGCTCGAACTTCGCATCGAACTTTGGAAAGACATCTAGACGGGCCAGCCACCGCATTGCTTCCTGTTGGGCCTCGCCGCAGCGGACACACACACACACACACACAATATTCAGGAAAAGCGGCTGAAATGCAAGTAAGGGAAAAAAAAAAAGAAAAAACAAAAGGGCTAGACGCAATGGGGGTGAGGGGACTGATTGGGGTGTGCGTGAATGTGCAACGAGCGCCAGTGCACGCCGCGTGGCACGTGTGCCGCGGAAAAGGTGGGAGGAACGAGCTGAAACACCACGCAACGTACACCTGCCCAGCCACAGAGACATATACGTATATATATATATATATATATACGTGCAGGCGGGGAAAAGTAAGCGGTGCATTGCACTTCACCATTTCTCTCTCTCTCTCTTTGTTTGTACTTTTACTTTCTGCCTTGGCGGTGGTCGAGGGCCACGCCTCGGCCCCATTTCTCTACCGGACCCAAAAAGAAGAAGACGCCGCCGCCGGCTTCGCCGCGGGAGTGAAAAACAAACACGACCCCGTTGGGCCAAAGAAGCAGCAGCAGCAGCAAAATAGGGTCGCGGGCGTGTGTGTGTGTGTGGGGGGTGGATCTAAGGGCAAATAACATGCCTTGAGTGCCTCTAAAAGAAAGTAACAATAACAGCAAGAAACGAAAACAACGCAGGTGGACTACACGCGAAGGCGACAATAAAAGAGGATTCCTCCGCGGCCTGCAGAAGAAGAAGGCTCAGGCCGTGGGCACCTCAACCCGGTGCCTCTTGGGGAGGCAGAGGGAGTAGGCGGCACTCTGCCCGCCGATGCCACCGACGTCGTCGTCATCGTCATTCTGCAGGCATACAGACGTGCCGCCAAGTCCTTGCGTGAGTCCGGCCTCCTCGCCGTCCTCCTCCTCCGCCGTCGCCTCCTTGGCGTGGGGCCCAACGTCAATAATGATGCTCTTCTGTGCGAAGGTGACCCCGCGTGACGTGGACCGCGACGGCGGCGCCGACCGCAACTCCGCCAAGGGCCCGGTCGAAGTCATTTCCTTCAGCTGCGCGTCCAGCACCCGCACATGGTGCGACGCCTGCGCGGCGCGCTTCGACTCGACGTCGAAGAAGAGCTCTGCCCGCAACCTGCAAGCCTGGCGGCGCTTCTCAATCGCCAGAAATCCCTCCCGCACCCGTTGCAGCTCTGCTTCCAAAGTCTTCTTTCCCTCTACAACCGCGTCGTACGCCTGATGCTCGCGATGGAGGGCCTCGAGGTGCGCCTCCGCCTGCTGCAGTTGGTCCTGCAGGAGGCCGCACTGACGCTCCCTCGCCATGAGCTCCTCCGAGAGGTCCAAGAGGGGCTCCGTGAAGTAGCGCTCCTCGCGGTCAAGCAGCGCCGCCCACCCACGGCTGAGTTCAAGCTGCTCTTCCATCTGGCGCTGCCGCGTTACCTGCAGCTCCGCCAGTTTCGCCTTCGTCGCCTGCTCCTCGAGCAACAGGGAGGCCTCCTCTGTCTCTAGCGCGGAGAGGGCCTGGGCGCTTTGACTCGCCGTCGTGCTCCAGCGGGCCGCGCTCTGTTGCAGGAGATCCGCCGGGTTTTCGGCCGCCACAGAGGCGCGCGGTGAGGGGTTGACGAGGTTGAAAGGGTTGACCACAGACCGCACGGAAGGAAACGCGTTGTTCACGGTGGGCGGAGGCCCATGCGTCGCCTGTTCCGTGGAGCCGAGGCGGGCGAAGTTCGGCGCCGCGGGTTGGCCCAAATTACCCGCTGCTGCTGCTGTCAGCGGCGGCACACGCAGTGCGGGGGGCACGTCTCGCGCCGCGACAGCAGCGTCGGTGGCGGCGGTGTAGTACTGCAGCGGGACGCCTTCGGGGCGCCTGTAGTACAGCGGTGGCGTGGTGGAGCGCATCGAAAGGTGAGTCTACTGTATGTTCCGCCCGCCAAAGACGCCTCGTCAACCCACGCAGCCCCTTTTTCTACTCGCCGCAACGAGAACGCCGGGTGTATGTGTGTGTGTTGGAGTAGCTGGGAGGAAAAGAGAGGAGGGGGGCTGAAAGAGACGTGGCGCCTTTTGACGCGGCAGCCGCGGACGGCACGCCGCTGCCAAAGACGCGTCGCGGCATCCGCACACCGCAGGCGAAGGCGTCAGGTGCGTGAGGGGCGGTGCGGAAGGGACGAGGAGAATCCCCCCGCACAGAAACAACAACAACAACAAAAAAAAAAAAGGATTATAAAAATACTAATAATTGCGGGCACAAGGCGGGTGTCGATGTCACGCACGGCTGAGGACAATTTAGCAAATTTCCGCAGCCTTCTTTTTTTTTATGCCTTCGGTTATTTATTACGGGCTGCCTCGCTGCTGCGACGCACGCGTTCAGGCGTGCGTGCGTGCGTGCGCGGGCAGAGAGCAAAGTGCGCCCCCCGCTTCCCCACCAACACGGCACCAACGCCCACACACGCGCGGGCAGACGCGGCGCCGGGCAGGAAGGGCTCTATGGTGTAAGTATAATAAACGTCAAACAGGCAACGCGCCAACACACACACAAAAAAACCCACACACACACACGCACAGAGAGAGTACAGACGAGTAGGAGCAAAGTAAAAGAGAAGAAAAAAAAGACATAAACATCATACGACAGTCCTTTTTCTTTTTCTTTCCCCCTCTCGTCCTCGCGTCCTCTTTTTGCTTACCTCAGTGGATTACTTTCGGAAAACAAACCGGGCTGTGAGGCTCTTCTTGAGGGCCTCCATCACCTCGCGGATGTTGTTTGCCTTGACGCCGTTCACCTCCTCGAGGAACCACACCGGCCGCGACTGGTACCGCTGCACGAAGGGATGCAGCCGGCGGGGGTCGGTGCAGCCGAACACCGGCATAGAGCCGATCGCCAATGTTTTGAGGGTCCAGTCAAAGCGGAGGCCAATGTCCCACGCGTCGTCGGCGCTGCGCCGCCGCGCCACCAGCTCATCGTCGTCAAAGCGTTCGACGGTCACGCTACCGTTCGGAAACGTCAGGGCATCCGCCAGGAGCGTCTCCTGGGAGGGGGCGGCCGCAGAAGCGTCGTTCGCCGCCGCGGCTCCACAAGCGTGAACGCTCACGAGCGGGACATCCACAACGCCTTGCGCGGCTGCTGCTGCAGCAACAGTCTCCGCCGCTGCGGAATTCAGTCGCCGCGTCGCGGCTTGCTTGCGACAGCGTTCTATCTTCTTCTTCGCCAACTTCTGCCGTTTTTTCCCACTGAGCTTGGCGTCCGCTACTTCAACCTTGGCCTTCTCCCGCGCGGTCTCCTCTTCAACTCGTTTGCGCTCAGCCTCTTCCTCTGCGGCCCGCTTGCGCTCAGCCTCTTCCTCTGCGACACGCTTGCGCTCAGCCTCCTCCTCTGCGGCCCGCTTGCGCTCGGCTTCTTCCTCTGCGGCCCGCTTGCGCTCAGCCTCTTCCTCTGCGGCCCGCTTGCGCTCGGCTTCTTCCTCTGCGGCCCGCTTGCGCTCGGCTTCTTCCTCTGCGACACGCTTGCGCTCAGCCTCCTCC